CTCCCCCCCCCCCCCCCCCATGCTACCTGAGCCAACGAGGACGCGTCTATATCATTCACTGCAAACTGACCTGCGAATACGAAGCTCCCCTTTGAAAGCAGAATTCAGGTTCTTATAAGGGCATGGCCTGGCCCTTCCTTCGTAGCAGAGCGCACAATGACGTCTGGAGGGGCGGGACGGGGGAGTGTTAACTGGACTATCGTATGTCAAGGATGAACAGCTGAATTATTCCACATGCATTACCCAGTCGATGCTGTTTCTGCAACTGCGGCTCGCTTTGCATACCCTCAGGGCGAGCATAAATCTGGATTGTGTGTACTTTGACGTTATCGCAACAACAAACCTCTACATATTCCTTGAATCGATAGGTTTCGCTAAGGTCAATTTGACCCTCCCTCGCTGTGTGTTCTTGTCCTTCTCGATCTCGACATTCACCGTCACCTTGTCAAAGACGGCAATGGTAACATCGTTGTTTCCCGTCAGTTCGAACGGCAGTGTCACAGTATAGTTGTCCGGGTCGAATTTGACTTCCCGTTTGAACATCACGAGGCCTTCAATGCCAAGCCTGGATATCGGGTGTTCAGTTCAGATGTTGCACAGTGGCAGAGCTGCTCTTACTTGGAAATGAATACTCCCAGGCCATTCCTGAACGTCCGAATGACGAAGGCTTCTTCTTGGACCAGACCTTGTTCTCTTTCGCCCCGGGCCTTGAGTGCCAGACCCACGTAGAACTCGACGCTGGCACGACTCGCCATTTGAGCCATCCGGTGACGTCGGTTGACCACGTCAAGCACTCGCTCGACGTGGCTTTTGGAATGGAGACTGGGGTGCAGAGGTGCGTAGGCGATAGAAGCGGCAAGTTGTCGGTGTGCAAGGACATCTGTAGGGGAACATCGTTAGTATGCGTAATGTCGACCGAAGATGAATCACGCACCAGCGTACCGCCGTATGGGACTCGTGAAGTGGGTGTATATAGGGCTAGCAAGACCATAGTGGCCAAACGTATCCCGTGCAACACTACCTGAGCAGAAATATTCTGCAGACAACATACACCTCGTCGCCATGATGCGAACTAGCGTATTAAAAGCAGGCTCGTTTGTATCCTGTGTGAGCAATAATCAGCGGGTGCCGATGGCTGTATACGACAAGGTACTGACAATGCATTTGTCCAGCGAAGCGGCCAAAGCACCAGAGCTGCTAACATCCAGGGTCATGCCTTTGCGTTTCTTGAGAATGTCCTGCAGTTTCTCGAAGTTCGTCCGCGGAGGCGGTAAATGCCGTCTGTAGGGGTATTAGAGGATTCAGACCCATCAGCCACCTAACGACAGTCTTACCTGAGGACTGCAGTTTGAGGGAACGTCTCTTGGATCTTCTTAGCGACGCTTATATTAGCGAGCAACATGAATTCTTCTACAAGACTATTCGTCTCTCGAAGTTCCTTTTGCTCGACATCAACAGGATCCGAGGACTCCGCGCTGTCTAGATGTATCTTGACTTCCGGGGAAGCAAGGTTGAGAGCCCCAGCAGCCATTCTGCCTGCTTTGAGCTTTATTGCAAGGCTATTGAGTAAACGGAGACTCTCCGTAATTTCATCTTGCATGTGCCTGCGTGAAATCAGGACTCCTGGAAAAGGTCGGGCTGCTATGTATTCACTTACGGATCATCTTTGCGCAGCTGGGCCTCCTCGTAGGTGAACGCAGCCTTCGATGCGATGACCGATTTCGTGAAGCGAACATTGACGATTTCGGCGTCGGGCGTCAATTCCTGTGGGAGGTCAACTGAGAGACGCGCTTGCATTACCAAGAAGTATTTACCCAAATGACTGAGAATGCAAGGCGCTCAACATAAGGCCTCAAGGAGCACAAATTGGTGCCAAGTAGAGAGGGCAACATATCTATGCGCTTATCCACAAGGTAGACTGTGGTGCCTCGTGCAGCAGCTTCGGTGTCCATCGGGTTATCGGGTAACACAAAGTGCGAGACGTCTGCGATGTCTAGACGCCCACGGGCATCCGTAAACTAGCTGGAGACGGTGATGTATACGTTTATGCACTTACGAACGCCGGCTTCGATGTTACCGTTGGGGAGTCGTTTGGCATGCAACGCGTCATCAATATCCTGACAACCTGAAATTTCTCCATCAGTCACAGCTCTATAGCATACGTAGAAAACACACCAGGCGGGTCAATACTACATATCGTGAGCTGCCTCAGATCTTCACGATCGCGCCATTCAGAAGATGAAGCGCTTTTCGGCGGGACGACCCACTTGTCTCCCTCAACAGGCAGACAGTCGAGGATAGCCTTCCCGAACGGTCTGTACGGTACGTCAAATTCAAGGAGCAAGCTCTCCTGCTCTGCTTCCTTGCTCTCAGCCTTCCCGAGTGCCCTGACAAAGTGGCCTTCGGGGTACCGCGAAGTGTTGTCCCACCTGTCGATAGTGACAAGAATCTTTTGGCCGACGAGCTGTGGCGCTTGGCGGGTCCGTAGCCGGATACGTGGGAGCAAGCGGGAGACAGGCGTGGCGAAGACGGTTTGCTGAGAGAGAGAAGTCGAATGGGTGTTCGACAGAGAGCTCATGTCGATATGACATACATATCTACGAACCACGGGTAAGCGAAAGACCAACGTAGAAAGACGGCCGAGAAACATACGCTCGCCAATTGCGTTTAATGATTCCGACTACACGCCCTGTGGGTTGTTTCTCTGATGGAGGGCGCTTATTTTCCTCCGACTGTATAACTTTCTTCTCCTGTTCCAGCACTTCCTCGCCCTCGCCTTCCTCGTCGGAGTCTTCCGCGTCGTCGTTTTTGAGGGTCGCTACGGAAAAGTGGACGGCGTACTTCAGCATTTTGCAGACGGTATAGAATGAATGGGGAGATGAAAGGCAAATTAGTCGATACCCACTCTCTTGATCCACCACCTCATCAGCAGGCGCCTTCCATTCCGACTCGTCGAAAACTTCGATTGCGACGATGTCTCCATGCACGGCGCGATTCATATTCTCTCTGCCTACCAGCAATACTGGCTTAGTGAACGCAGGGACGGAAACACTCCCCTAGTATAGAGGAAGGATAATATGAGCAAGTGTGTTGATGTAATCACCGAAATTCGTATTAACTCGCCTCCAGATAGTTGTAGGGATTCGCATTGAAGTGGCCCTGATGAAGCTGGTTGGACTTGACCCCAGCCAGGACGGCGGCGGTCGGGAGATACTATTTGTTTATTTGTTCAAATCTCCTTGGGATGAAGAGAAGCATGGGACACGAACGTCGGCATATAATGCTGAGCGCGCAGCTACTGCGCGAGTGGGCTCAATAGAGTCCTCGCCGACAACTGCAAGCAGATCGAGAAGCTGGTTCGAGTCTTTCGTCCCCTCCACATATCGACGAACTATACGAGACTTCGTATTGATATCATATGCACAGAAGAGGTGACGGTACCTGAGGAGACAGCCAAGCCCTCTGCTTCCGCTTTCCGCCTGTTGGCCGCGTCATCTGTCAGAAGGACTACCTTCGGCATTGCGGACGAGGATGCTGAGCGACCGTGGGCAAGCGGGATATGCGATTGGTACCACGTCGTCGCTTTCCTGATACCTGTAATTCCACGTATGAATACTTCTTCAGCAGGGAGGAAGTCAAGCGCAGACCTCGGTCATTGCGATCATTCGGCGTCTCGCCCTCCTCGCGCACAATGGCAGTTTCTCTAGAAACATGAGAAATCGTGAATACGCTGAACTGAAGGAAGAGTTTGGATAAATCTGGTGGACTGACGAGCGATATTCATTATAAAATACCCATATACGTTTGTCGTCGGCTTTCGTGAGGGCCTTGAGACGGTTGTATAGCGGCAGTGAGCGGTGTCGGACCTCGTCCAGAACGGTTTGGAGGAGGATGATTGGAGGGGAGAAGAGATTTGATTCCATTAGATCCATCTCGATTGATACGGGTAAGTACAGGATACAGTAGGTATGCGTGAGAGAAAGGGGGGCGATGGCTGTCGGCGCTCAATAAACTTATCTGTAAATTCGAAGGCATCCTGCACCAGCTCACGGGCACGGACAAAGATCGCCTAATCGTACGGGCCAGTAAGGATTCAAATCACCTCGCCTTACAGGCCCAAGTTTCCGACACCGACGGAGCGCCATACAGTGGCACTCCGCCAGCGTAGTTCTGGGACCACATTCTCGGCTTAATGCGTTGCAAGCGAGAGGACATGATATCTATCGTCCGCTTGATCTCTTAACCGCTTCTCAAGCCTGCAAATATGAACCCTGCAGGTACTCCGGAAGATCATGCGGACGATAGACAGCCTGACTTCCCCCTCCAGACTTCACTTTACAAATGTTCCACCGCGCAAAGAGGCTGACAAATAGGACTGAAGCATACTCACCTGGGACAAGAAGACATTCGTATCAGGCAGGAGGAAATGTCCCATCGGAAAAGCAGAATGCCCCGTTTCCCCAGCAGGGGGTAAGTTTCCGAGCTCTGCACATGCGTGGCAGCCCTGTATACCACACCCTACATCGTCCCTGAGGTACCTCTCCCTCAGAACTGAATAACTCAGCGGGAATTAACTGCCGCTGAGTAACGCACACTCACCTTTAATGACCTTCCCTCTCGCTGTCTTTTTGAAGAATTTGCGTTGGGTTATAACAGCCTCGGTATCAGGCCTCTTCCTAATGGTAATATCGACCATTGTTGTATCCTAGTCTGCTTTCGTAGAGCTGCTGAAAACGATAGCGTCCGGGCCAAGTTGAGTGGCTGAAACATTGACAACGAAGTTGGATATTTATTATTTTAGATATTTGCGGAAAGTATGGAGATATTTTATTTCATTATTTTTCTGCACATCCCGCAAATCCTCTCCAATATTCATCTCGCCCCTCTTCCCTCCCCCCCTCATCCCGCCGCCCGACGTCCAGCGCGCCTCTTTATCGCCGGCTGCCGTCAAAGAGCTCGGAACCGCCGACCGTGGAAAACGGTCGGCACCAAGACGGCACGGCTCAAGTCCGCGCGCGTCAGTGATGGGAACCGAAGCGGTAAGTCGTTCCAGGCTCTGGCAAAGCCGTAAACATAGCATCCCAATTTGACCTCTGCCCACTGTGCTTGCAGGCGACGAAACCCTCGCGATGCTTGCTATATAGCGGCGGAAGAAACGGAGCGAAACACCTTTAGACCCTCGCCCCTTGGACCGCCGTTTTTACCCCCCTTCGTCCCGCAGGGCAGCACTTTCTCTGACACCGGCCCCGGTTGTTCTCAGCCATGAACGTCTTCAACCCAAAAATCCTGGATGCCAGCATCCGGGATGTCACTGCGAGCCTTACCGACGACCAAAAGGCAGATGTCCTGTTATATGCCATGAAGCACCTCCAGGTCGAAAAGTCAGTGGTCTTTCCCTACAAACATTGCGGGTCCAGTAGCCTCCTAACCGCCCGGAGCAGTTCTAGAACCACAATCGAGAACGCCGTGCAATCTATTCTACAAATTGCAGACCTCTCCCCTCGGAATGCGGCGTCAGCGAGAGTCCTCCGAGCCAAGGCCAGGCTTGCCGCCGGGCGGAGGGTCGGTGCCCACGAAGGTCTCGTGTGTGCTCTTCTTTCCCTGCTTAAGCAGGCAATCTCACTTGAACTTGCATCATGGCTGTAGACCTGGAGGCGGTTCTGCGTCTTGAACCTGACCATCCGGAGGCATCCATCCTCCTGAGCAGGCGGGTGGTCGTCACTGACAAGGTACGAGAGGACGGTGTAACATGAATACTCGTCTGAAATGCGATGCATGATTAGTCTCCTGTGCACCCGCGGTCATATCCGATGTTTTCGGTGGAGATATGGCGCGAGATAGCGCTCTTCCTCCCGCGGCACGACCTCAAGACGCTCCTCCTCGTCCCCCACATCGTCTCGCGAGTCGCGTCGCAGCTCCTATTCCAAAAGATCGACTTGCATTTCGTAGTATGGGAAGACGACGAGGACGAGTCCCAGCCGGAGGTGCGACTTGATCAGCAGCTCGATAAGTGGCACGCCCAGCGATCCGCCGACATTCTCACCAGGATCATCATCGACCCCGGCTTTGCCAGCCTCATCAAGACCATGCGGATATTTGCCCCTCGGCTGTCAGTGCAGCAGAGCATGGCCTTCCAGACGGGTCAGTAGGGTTCGTTTCGGTTTATCAACGTCAATAATCGCTCTTTAGGCATGTTGTCCAATGCTCTGCCCAAAATGAACAACCTCACGAACTTCCACTGCACCATGAACCCGCAGGGGCTTAATGCTGTCATGCGCGTCATCGAGTCTTCCCGGCCAAAACTGAGCGGGCTATCTCTAAAGTAGGTCCTTGTTGGATCCACGCGCACCTTGGCTAATCCCGCAGACCTACGAACCGCTCAACGCCGATCATCCTCCCCAACCTCAAGTCGCTCCGCAAGCTCGCCGTGTACGACCTAGACGAGAACGCGTCGCAGACGTTCAAGTTCATCGCGCACAATCAGGGCACCATCCGCGAGCTCTCGCTCAAGGGCCTCTTCTCGACGCTCTCCACCGAGGCCCTCGCCGTGCGCCACCTCACGCAGCTGGACTTCTCTGGCACCATTCGAGCCGACCGCCAGGTCTTCTCCGAGATCCTCGCGAACGGGCGGCAGCTTGAGGCGCTGCGGATAAGCTGTATCCTCAACACCGCCGTATCCGCGCAGTTCCGCTCCAACAAGACCGCGCTGCCGTACCTCAAGCACTTTGCGTTCTCGATCATGAACATCAGCGCCGCGGTGACGGACACGGACCTCTTCCCCGCCCTTTCGGAGTTCCTGCGAAACAGGAAGGCGTTGGTCACGCTGCACCTCAAGGCGCCGTTCAAGTCGATGCAGCAGCGGCTCGGGTACGACGCGGCGGTTTGGGGCGTGCTGCCGTCCCTGCCGAGCTTGCGGAACGTGCACATCACCATCCCAAAGGACGTTGCGCCCGGCCTCGCGACGTGGCTCATCCCGCGCGAGGTCACGACCTTGTCGTTGGATGGGGAGCTCCCAGAGCTCGCCGAGATGCCATCCTTCATCTCAGTGAGTTGCCTCAGTGTTAGGATGAACGAGTACTGACATCGCGATTAAGCAACTGCGCCCAGGCGTTCCGCCCGGGCTCAAGCTGGTTGCCTTTCCCCAATACGCCATCCCAGATGTCGCACTGCTCATCGAGCGAGGATTTCCTATGGTGCGGGTCTGCCGGCTCGGCGATGACTTCTGGACGGTCATCCGGAAGGAGGACGGCGTCTCCATCAAGGAGTTGGAGAGATGGCCGTCAAGACGCGCGAGGTACAGCGCACCAGAGTGGTTGGAGTGGCTGGGATGTGAGGACGCATTGTGGCCGGAGATTATCGATTTCTTGTGATTTTTGGGTAACCAGTGGACTCTCTTGCTCGGGCGTCGTCATTTACCGCGGTGTATTCATAGTGATATGTTGTCCCTGTACCCAGCGCGGTGTAATCGTCCTAAATATTCGATCCGCTTGGATCATATGAGCCCGGTTTCCGGACAATGAGCTGCCTGGTTACCGACATGGTTCATATGAACCCTGAGCTCGAGCAGGGGTGGGTATGACCGTACCCTGCCAGAACGCTGCAAGTCATTCCGGAAGCTGCGGGTCGGACGGCATGCACCGCTGTTTTCAAGTCCCGGTTACTATGTTTCAGAAACAATCTCGGCGTCGACTTGCTACTAGCACTCAACAATAGTGGGTGTTAGCGCTGGTTGCATTACTTCTTGACGCCTAGTGTACACATGAACAAATACTATAGCTCGACCTGTCTCAACTAGAGTACCCAAAGCTGTGGGAAGCTTGGGATCGACCAAATACATCACGTTCATCTACAACGTAAAATGCTTGACACTACAGATTTTATTGAGGTGACCAGTGTGCCTGAAGAGACAAACGCTGGAACCCCCCCTCTTGTAGATGTCTTTCTTACTCCGCGTATTCCATCCTATCCTATAAACAAGCGCGACATCAATTGCAATCAGCAAGTCCAAGCTGTTCGGATTGTACCTTTTTTGTAGCGGTCTGGTCAATCGTCGTCTCACCTAGTTCCTCGTCGTTAGGGCCCCATGCCAGCACCGACGTCGTCTCATTACGCTCGGCTAATCAGCTTCCTGTTCTACACTGTCATAATCATCCTGGAGTACTCACAATATGCACGCCGCCCCCTGGTGGGCCGCCGTTCTGCGGCACGGCGGAGAGAGGGAAGCCTGAGGCGTTCGCGGTGCTGTGCCCCCGTGTTGATTCGGAGGAGAGGGTGTGGCGGGAAATGAGTCTGTGTCAGACGTAAGTTAGCGGTGAGATGATTGGGTGTGGTCGGACATGGGTGGCTCACGTCGTGGTCACGGAGATGAGATATACTAAATAAAGACAAATATCTGAGTACGAGACGCCGCTGATGATAGATGAAACCTACATTGACCGCTGGGCAGGAGGGGCAACATGAATATGAACTTGTCGGGGAAGAGCACGAACTGGCGGTGTTGAATGAGCACCCATCCCAAAAGCCGCCAGAAACAAAAACATACGAAGAGCATGTTGAAGAACGCGGCGAGGCTAGAATATCAATCCTATCAGAATGCGGCGCGTAGCTTCGAGGGTACTAGTACATACGTCGTGAGCACTCCTCGATTGAGGGAATAGACGATGAGCTTGTTAAGGAGTGTGTCCGTGCTGCCATCCCGGTTATCCGTCTCTCAACATTGCAGGAAGGCTGGCGTATTAGCTTACCGTTTTAAGCCCGTGCGACTGGTATGGAATAACTGCGTAGAAGATATCTCAGCCACGTACTTCGGGGGCTGTGTACTAAGGGAGAACGTACGGTAATAAGAATGACCGTGATGGACAGATCGCACGCCGCAGTCGCAGCGCTCTGCGTCGTTGTGACTTTCTGAGGACAAAGTATCAGTCAACGTGGCTATAACGAACAGACATGCTACCACGGCATACTTCTGTCGAAGCCAGGAGACTGAACCTGCCGACTTCGGCACTGGAATCAATCCTATTAGCTATGCACCAACAGGAGCGAAAGCAAGAGGACACACGATAACGTCGTCTGTGCTGTATAGGGCGCGGATGATCTGATCAATTGCTGCTTAACAGAACTCTAACAGGTCAGACCTACCGATGCCAGCACCTGATAATATCGCCCATCTCATCAACCGATGGGCAGCTTCATCAGTAGCGATCACTTACTTAGTTGCAGCAGACCCAGAAGCACCTTTAAGCATCTAAATTTAGCTTCAAATGACGCGTATACGGTACGAGCATACGAACCGGAATGCCTGTCAAAAAGACACTTCGGTGGCTCACTAAGAGTATGATATTTCAATGGTTGCATAAGCATATCAAACACAGCTGGACCCACGCCTCCATATTCTCCAAGCGAAGAACATCTGTGATATGAAGGCGACGATGTAGATAGCCAGCAGCTGAGTGACGGCCGTCCTGTATTTCGCGAGTCGTGAGTCGTTTTGCAAGCAGGGATTGCCTGACCGTTGAGGGGACACACCTGGGCATAATGTCGATCTGGGTGAGGCTACTGAAACTTTGTATGAACGCGAAGTAGCCCCAGGCAAAGTATGTGCAAATGTGAACCGTCATGAGGAAGCTAGACCAATGTTTAGTCCCGTTCCCCTAGTACGTGAAGCGCGTGCTTACGCCATGGTCCCCACCTAGAGACATAGAGACGGTTAGCAAGCCAATCCCTTCCGGCTCCACAGCATAGACGTACGATCCACTTGGAAGACTTTGGATCCTCGGGATACCTCGTGAAGTACTGAAAGGCCAGCAGCATTCCAGCTCCATAGAGGCTGGCGGTGCGTTTACCAAATCAGTCTGATTTGCTTCCGACGGCAGCAAAAGCTTTCAACTTACACGGCATCAATGAAGAACGCGATGAGCATCAACGCGAACGTGGCGTCCAGCGGATTCCCCATGGTGAATTCCTTGCATGCAGAGTCTCGCCGAGACGCGGAAAGTGAAAGATCCAAGGAGTGGACGGAACGTGAGGGATCGGTCTTGAGATGAGTTCTATCTTTAAAGCCGCCATCTTTGCGCTGCGCCAGGCGTCATGCCTTTTCGCATCTTGTCACGTAAACGAAGGCGGGATCTGTGGCGCACTTCGCGATGCCGTTTGTGGTTCGCACCTGTTCGCACTGTTTCCAAGCACAAGCCGGTCAGCCCTATAGAATTAGATGAATCAAGATCGTAATTATAGGTACAGGTAGTCCTTGAACCCTAGAAATACGTACACGCATATGGGCCTATTCCCTTGCAGTAACCCAACAGCCGGAAGTATTTACACACGCAACCATGTGTCGTCCGAGCGTCCGCCGAATACAGAGCGATTTGCATCCCGGAGTGCGAAGCCTCGCACTCATACCTGACGTGTCAACACCATCCGTTTTCACCTCAGAAGGCGCGTACTTTTCATGCATTATTTTCTATGTCCTTTCTTTCGCAACAGCGACAGAGTCCATCTGAGCGTCAGCCACGCAACGGCATTCCGGTCAATTATAGCCTAGATTCTGCATCTCAGGGTAGAGGAACTTTTCAGGTTCGAGGACTTCTCCGGTGATAGCCGGAGCACTATGATTGGCCACTGCAATTTCGTTCCGTCGCTAGTACAAGGAAAATCTGATCGGGTCTGGATCCTGTTGCCCGCGAGGTGGACAAACTACGTACCTTAGATTGAACTAAGATAGTAGATTGTCGGGCCCGTGCGACGTCTCCCGCGGCGACGCGAACGGCCACCGCGCAATCAAGCTAACCAGCAACTGCCAGTTAGGGTTGAAGTCAAGCACGCTAGCCAACTAAGGCGGCGGGGAACTCGTCCGTTCGGTGTACTTACCAGACATGAGCCTGGGTGGGTCGCGCTCGCGACATACCAACGACTGCTGACTGACCTCACACGCGCACGCTAGCAGTTTCAACACTTTATGCGCCTCTCACTTCTATCTGCACGGAAACAAGTGATGAAAAGCACCGGGGTAACGAGAAGCCTTCGGCTCCTGGACGCCCTAGCTGAATAAAGGTCATGGGAGCGATTGTGGGCGTCGAGCAAATTCATCGCTCTTGTTGTCCTCCAGCATGCCTACCGCAGTCATCGACGCCGAAGGAACTGAGATCTTCTTCACAGACAGTGGGCCTGTCGAGGGCTCCAGCGATTACACCACCTATGTGATGTACCATGGATCAGCGTTCACTGGTGGTGGGTGGCGGACATTTCCTATCTTATCTGAAATCCTTACCTTTCGCCAGATATGTTCCACAAGCTCCTCCCTTTTGCCGCGAACGCGAAGGACAACGTCCGGCTGGTCATCCTAAATCGCCGCGACTACGTCGGTTCATCGAAGTACTCCGACGCGGAATTGGAGGATCTGAACGCTGGCCGCAAGGTATTTATGGAGCGTACTGCGGTGGAAGTCGGCAACTTCCTCGCCTGGTTCATCGAGAAGAACCAGATTCCTCGCATCACTTCGGACGGGAAGTCAGGTGGCCTCGCTGTTGGGGGCTGGTCCATAGGAAGCGCTACCCCGCTCTCCCTCTTTGGACACCCGGAAGCCGTGCCAAAGGAATTGTATGCAAAGTTAGAACCTTATTTTAGGTTGCTGATATTCTATGGTACGAGCCGCGCTTCGAAGACATACGAGTCCATCAGTAACGATGAAGTTCTTAGATCCCCCTCACCTCACATTTGGCTATGAGCAGCCGCCAGAGGGCTACAACCCATGGACCGACCCGGACTTTCCCACCCCGCTTGAGCTGTTCGACAACTTCCGCTACTGGGTATCAGGCTACTACGAGCACGCCGGGCTGCCCTCACGCGACGGGCGCCGCCTCAACTTCGCGAAGCGGGGTGAGAGGCCGTCCGTGGATAATATGACCCCCGAAGAGTACGCGAAGAACTTTGATGGCATAGCCGCAAGTCGCTGCGAGTTTCCCATGTATTTCCCTATGCAGCCTGTCTTGAAGGAACAAGCGGAGAAGGCGCTGTTCGATGAAGAGACGGTGAGCAGAGTGCTGCCCAGGGTAAAGGTCGTGCTGCAGACTTGCACGTCCGCGAACTGGTACTGCGCGTATGGGTTCATCGAGACGGAGAGGAGGTATAAGGAGTACGTGGCGAAGGGGGTTAAGGTCAGACCAATTCAGTTCCAGGAGATCGAAGGAGCGAATCATTTCGTGAGTGAATATAGGGATGACGGAGTTGTTACGCTGGCTGATGCAGGTTATCAGATTCACTGGGACGACCCTGTCAAATTTTGGACCGCTACTGCTAAAGCAATCAACGGCCTCTAATAATCAAATAGGACTGTCAGTGTACCACTGGTGAAAGTAATGCAGAACGAATATCAATTACATCTACCCGGCGTTGCTAGTACTCTGTAGCTGGAGTCATCATTAACCTACTGAGGCGTACTGAGCAACGGGCATAACGCCGGGATAACCGTAGAATGCGACGCTGAAAGGAGATGGATCAAGGACAGATCTAACGGCGTCTACCCGTTAAATGAGAGTGCGAGAGTCAGCGCCGTAGCGTCGGGCTAGGGACGGCAGTCCTTGTGCCAATGTGACCGAAGGACAGGATGCGCATGTGATATTCAGAGTTTACGACAGTCCTACGGATGGCTCACCTGTGTACCGGGAGATCGTAATATTTGGCGAGTCGAGAACACATACGTGCGGGTATTCCACTCATCTCGACCGATGCGCTACCGACGCACAGATACTACTACGCGAGAAGCTAGAGGCGCGTATGGATCCAAAATATAATGGTGATACCAAGACCTAATATGGGATTGTGATAGAGGGTTCCTTTCGCGAGACAATAGACTCGCAGTAGAGGCACCAGTCCCCGAGTGGTCCCGGTAAAACACTTGGAGCCTCACAGCTGTGAGCTTCATGCAGTCTACGCAGACAAATGCGATGGCTGGACGAAATCCATGACAGACCTGCTGCTCGCCCATCTCCCAGGAGGTGTGCGAGCAGAGGCCGGCAGTGGGCTATACGACGTTGCCCCCCCGTAGATCGACCCGGAGTCCCGTCGCGCGTTGCAGCCAGGATCGCCTTGCCGTCGAGAACGTTCAGCCTAACTAGGCAGACACCAAAGAGTATCATGAACGGCTTGACAGGAGTCAGGTCGGGGTTGTAGATGACAATGAGGCCTTTCGAGACGGACCTATCAAGCCCAAGGGAACGTAACCTGCCGTCCGTGACATGTACAGAGAGATAATCGCGATAATGAAAAACCAGAAACCCTGTCAAAGGAGCGGTGCGAAAAACAGGATGATATGTATCAGAGACTAAGGACGGTCAACCTGCAAGAATCCTCATCCGGGTCATCTGTGCCCTTGACGGCCATAACGTTGATCGATTGTCAATGATTGCCCACTTACAGCGAAGAGAATACGCACGTCCTGGAAAACAAGGCCGTCTTCGTATATCATGACAACCCTGTCGTAGAAAGAGCTTGGGGGTGGTAGGTTCGGGAAACGTCCTACATATTGTCGGTGCATCCTCGGGCCTGAGCTAGTATCCGTCACGTCCCCGAGAGCCCGCCGAGCTGACGGAGGATTAAATTCTATTACTGCGACCGTCCGCGGTCCTTCGGTGCCCTCCCCGTCCTCTTCCTGGTCGAGATTGTATACCAACTTATTTCCATAGGTGGACCGCAGAGTGTCAATGGCAGGTACTCCTTCGATCAATAGAGAACTCCCTCCCCAGTGGTCCCAGAGCCAAGTGGTACCGACCGCACCCCGAGCCTGCGGTATCAGTGATAACAAGCTAGAGACTGGTACCAGGTGTAGCAACGGCCCAGCGCACATAGGCCACCTGGGCCACCTGTGATCCTTGACGTAGAGAGCTAAGACCTGACTGTGGGGCGCAGAGTAGAAGGGGACGTCGGAGTCATGCCCATCCTGACCACGCCAGGGACGACACAGATATGTTTCCAGACACGTGTCGTTCCATTCCGGGTCCCGATCTCCGAAACTGTACGCAAACGCGCAGTGGTAGTTCTCCTCGTTCCAAAAAGACGGCGCCACTTTGCGTTTGCCAGAGATCGTACACTTCCAGGTGCCCGCGAGGACCATGCATGACGGCCATCGCGACGTATCGCTCCGAGAGGAACACGTATTCTATGCTGTTCATTTCCGAGCATCCCATATCCTACAGATGATGTTCGCTCAGGACGTCATCACCACGGTACCTTAGGGGATGGACATACCAGCAAGGTAACACAGGTCTTCCAATTGAGCACAATAAATTCGCCGAGATCACGCAACTCTTGCCAGAACTGGACGCCAAAATGGATCTGTGGTCCTTCAATGTCTACAAGCGCCTCTCTCCGCATGTTATAGTAGTCCACGTCAGGCAAAGATACTGTAGACTTCGTAGCCAGAGGATGCGGATCTCCAGTTGCAAGCGTGCGAACGTGGACCACACAAGTGGGGCTGAGCCATGGGCTCAACGGATCTCTGAAAGACACTCGGCTCATGATGAAAAAGGAAATAGCAGAAAGATGAGACTCGCCTATGCGGGATTTCGACTAGTATTAGTAGATCCTGGGCCGGATCGAACGCCATTGCTTTGACATCGAAGCCTGCATTCGGAAGGCGCCACTCGCGAGCATCGATGCCACGAGCATGGGCAGGCAGCCTGTTGAATACCAGCTGCGAGTCATCGACGACGCGACCAAGTATGCCACCCCTAAGCACGCTCAAGGTCCAAGACATTGCAGGTAGTGTCTCCGTGGTCTTGAAATTCATGTCCTGCCATGAGAGAGTATATCTACGGAGACGAGAAAGGCGTTCTGCGGTGTTCAGGCGGGAACCAGGATTGTCCTCCATGCCTGCCACTGCCAGTTCGATTTCGTATTGCAGGGCAATTGACTCGTCGACCGTACACTTGAGATCGTTGCATACCTAGGAATTCGGATTAACTGCGACATACTAGCAATGAGGGTGGAGAGCAAGTGTCCACACCCTTCGTAATGAGACTATATCTTTGAAATCAAGCTCTTTGAGTATGTGAATAATGAGCTCGACGGCTAGGCCGAGTAGTCCCAAGCGCAAGGGGTCCATCATGGATGGCTAAGGGAGTGGTCCCAGAGGTCGGGTGATGTCAGGCGTGGACCAACGTGGACGATGCGCGAGTTCCTCTTGCGGCTGTACTTAAGGCTGCAAGCTGCAAGCAGAACGTATAAGTTACTGGGAACGGACAGTACGCGGACAGTACGCGGACACGTCATGCACTTATCCCAAAGGTGTCCGTGGACTGTCCAGGTGATAATCTGTCAGTTGTCCGCGGACTGTCCGTGCGTCCTTTGAGTCGCCGGCCTGCATCCGGATCGATAATCTACCGCCCCGACTCTTGCCTGTTATGGCCTTCCCGCCCGAGGATGCTGGCGCTGTCCTGCGCCGCCCACCCGCCCCTGTCAAGAGGCATAATTCCTTTTCCGTGTCCTGTATAGTAGGTAGTACTAGTCAACAGCTAAATCATTTTATTTTGACTTGCATCCTTTACGCTACTGGGACCATGGACCCTTTCCCGCATGACGCCCGTACTGCTGTCTGTCCGACGTGTGGTGTGCTCTTACGTAAAGCCACATTCAACGCTGGTACCTCCAATCCAGAGAATTATGGACGCTGGAAGGCCTACTGCCCGAGCTGCCAAAAGCACCACAACATAACTCCTATC